GCCCACGGCCGCACGCAGCTCATGCTGGGGGGGACAGAGAGGCGAGGTTTGACAGCCACGCGCGGGTGATTTGTTGGGAGGGTGGCTTTGGGGATGTTTGGGGATTTGTGGTGGTGGTGGGGGGGGGAGATTGCGAAGTAGGGTGCAGGGGTTTCTGGGGGAGGGGACGCCAGGCGCCCGAAACCTATCAACCTGTACGTGAACCCTTTTAACCCCCCCCCCCTTCTGTTTCAGCAGAATGTCTGTCATGACTCTGTGAGATTGCAATGGATGTTTCATGATTGAAAAAGGCCAGGCCCCCACCTCGAGGTGTGTCTTGTCCAGGTGGGCCACCGCACCCAACAGGTCCTGGGGGAGGGGGGGCAAAGCAGTGGGGTTGAGGATGGCAGGGCGGCCCGCTTGCGTGTGCAGTTTGTTTGTGTGTGCGTGCGCGCGTGAACACATGGTGGAGTGCCGCTTGTGGGAGGGTCTCTGGGCACAAATGTGCACGACAGACGAGACTCTTGTTCCAGCAGCTTCAACGCCCTCGACGGGTGCAGTGCGTGCACGCAGTCTCCATCCTTGTTGCGCACCAGCAAACCGCCTTCCTCGCCTCTCAAACACACAGCGAGCACCCTCACGCCTGCGGCGGCCCGCACCAACGCGCAACGCTGTGCTGCAGCATCCGTGCGATGCGGCACAGCCCCACGCCAACCCAAGGCAGAGCACACAGCCGCGCGCCCAACCCGCCGCCATGAGCATGGCACATGACCACCCACCAGAGCTTCCCAAAGAGAGGGCTCAGGGTTTAAAGAGCAGGACGCTTTTGCCAACCCCGCCCCACCCCCCACCTGGTGCATGTATATGATGTGCACCTCCACCCTGGCCGCGTACGCCACGTCAGCGCCGTGCAGCGGCGGCCACGCCAGGTGACGCGCGGCGCCCCAGGCCAGCGCCGCCAGGTCCGGCACCACCGCCCTGGCGGCCACCTCGGGGCGGTAGTGGCGCAGCGAGGGGGCGCTGTGGGACAGCACCTGTCAGGGCGGGGGCCGGGGGGTTGTCAGGTAGTTGCATCGGTGGGTTTGGTCGTGTTGAAAATTCGGGTGTGTGTTGGAGCGGGTGCAAGGGGGGCTGGGGGAGCGAGGAAGTGACGAATGGTTTTGGGGTCGTTTATGAGGGACGGGGGCATCTGCCGCGGCAGCAAAGGACCGGCAAATCAGGTGTGCAAGCAGCAGCTCAATTTCAGCACCCACGCAAAATCACCCACGCTCCCAGAACGACACACATGCCGCCCAGCATTATCTGGCATATTAAACAGCATCCTTTGCCCCCTCCACCCCTCTACAAACCGACTTCTATCCATGCATCCCCCCCACACGTAAACGCCACCAGCATGATGAACTCCCAACCACCCACCGCTCACCCCTCACCCCCGCACCCCCATGCGCCCCCACCTGCCCCTTGCCGCCCGGCCCCGGGCCGTAGAACGTGATGTTGGCTGAGAGGTCGTAGAACGCATAGCGGTGGACCTGGGACACGTACACGCCCCCGGGGCAGGAGCGGTGCCTGGCGGCAAGGCAATAGTGTGCATGGGGTTGTGATTGTGAGTGTTTGTGTGCAGGTGTGGTTGTGTGTGTGTGTGCTCATAGGTATTATGACTGTGTGTCAGTGTGTGTGAGAGAGGGGGGGCAGGGGGGAGGGAGAGGGGGGGGGCAGAGCCTGCCAGAAGCCAAAGTAAAGCCCCAAAGGAAGGGCTGGTGCTATTACAGGGACCCGACGCTGGCGTATCCGCGCCCCACCGCGTCCCAGCCATGGGGCATGATGGCGTCACCCCGCTCACTCGTTGTCGTAGGCGTACATGTAGGATGACGTCACCTTCGGGTTCAGTATGTAGAGGGTGTACGACCTGCTGCCCATCATCGTGTTGGTGTAATCCTGGGGGGCGAGGTGACGGGCGGCGACGCGACGCGGGTGAGCGACGTGGATTACTCACGTCAACGTTGCGTTGGGTGCGCGAGACGACCGTGGGAAACCCTAAAACCCGAAACCCATGATAACAGCGAGCACTCCAAGAGTGCAGGATGTTGGCTCAGAATGGTGTGCGCACGCGCTTGCTGGACCGGCAGCAGACACGGGTCCGAGCAGGACAAGGGGGTGGGAGGGGGCTGAGCAGCATGGCGCATTGGAGGCGGCTGGAGGACGGATGTATCTCGGCGCTTTCGGTGCTCGGCATGATGGTGTTGGGGCTGCGGGTTGGCCCCACCTGGTCCAGGATGTTGCTGACGACTGAGGGGTTGACTAGCACGGTGGGGTGCTCGGTGAACT